TTGGAGTTTTGATGCGTAGGAATTGACCACGAAGGCCGTAGGCCTGAGTGGTTAATTTTTTCGCATCAAAACGACAAAGCCGGTGTTAAAAAGCCGATATACACCTCTCAGGCCGATGTTATTTCGATTCTATCAAGATAAAATAATGTTATTTTTATAATGTTATTTTTTTCAAGCGGAAATAACTTCCGGTGCCGATTTTCGTATAACGCTGTTCGATTTTCGCACCCTACTGTTGCAAAGATACAGAAATTATTAAACAAAATAAATAATAAGAAAAAACGTTAGTTTGTATTTTATCAAGTTTTCAACAATAAAAACTTACGTCGTATTGTGTTTACATCAGTGCCCCATTTATCATTCTTGTATGAGCTAGTTGTTTACTTACGATGACGTTATTACGCTGCTTACGGATTGGCGCCGTTTTGTCAAAATATTTATTAACTGATATGGATCAAATATGTGGCGTTAGTGTATGTGAGATATTATTCCGGTATTGTTTGAAAAAAAAAAAACATTATAAGAACTGAAAATATAAATAAAAATGCTTTTTATTGTTGCTTTATAGTGACAAAATCACGTGGAGTGATAGAATTACATTTAGAATATACGTATAAAATCCAAGAAAATGGCTGATAGTTGAAGAAGTTACTTAACTTTAAAAAAAACTTCATGATAAAGCTCTATATTTTTTCTATTGTTTACATCAGACTGCTGCATTTAGTAAACATGTGTGCGTCAGTGAAGCGATACTGTACTTACCATGTTCGTAATGTTGTGAAAATCGCTTTCAAATTTGCAAACTTATCATTTACTTTTTTCTAGACCAAAACGATCGAATCGGCCAAAAGTTCAGATTACACGGAATATGAAAATTAAGTTCAATTTACACATTTGTTGTGTACATGTTGAGAAACTGGAAACAAATGCTATAATACAAACGAACTGTAATATAAACATAATCATGTTTGTTAGAAAAACAAAACAGATATATCACTATAAAAATAATTTGAATGCTTACCTACTTTATTACAAACAATTTATTGTAAATTTTTAAAGTTTACTAGAAAGTTACCTGTTTACATATTATTGTTTTATTGATATGATATGTGTTCATATATATTTAGAAGTTTATAATTGTGTTGATTTATTATTATAATGTTAATGTTCGTATAGATTAACCCATTCGTTTTATTTTATGTTAGAATTTTTAAACGTAGTTTACAAAGTTCATAGATTGACATGAAAGTAAATATATATCTTTACGTATTTTATAAATAATAAAACACGTCACATTATGATTTTGTTCCTTGTCTTTACAATGTTTTAATTATGGAATAATTATCATTATGCTAGCTTGCTTACATTGAACGAGTATATGTATTTACCAATTATCAAGTTTAAGCAAAACCTCCATTTTATACGAAAACAGTGTAAAACAGTTATATAGTGTCTTATCTGCTTGATGATACGGGAGCAAATATTTTATGATGTTCAGTTCTCCTTAGTACAGAAAAGCATAATGTTTATTCCGACGTCCGTCATTGTCGACAATTGATAAAAAAAATATTTTCTGGCAAATTTCGACCAAATTTCAGAGGAATGATCCTTTTTTGACACTCTGTATATTTCATTTAGATATATTTTTAAAAGCTATAACAGACTTATAATCTTCTCCACAGAAACTACAATGCCCAAAATTTCTTCATATGGTAAGTAGCAAGCATTATATAGTTCTATTCAAAACTGGTCCGCCATTGTGCACTTAGTTTGCGAAGACTTTAATGGGAAAATCACTGTTCAAAATAATGTGTCCAAAGGTTGGCTATTTTGCAGTGAACATTGCCTAGATAATCTGTGCAGAATTTATATATAGATTATGCCCCTGGGTCAAAAATGGCTTCTCTTTAGAAATCACTTTTTTCAATAGACTGGTAACGAAAATAAACTTCAAAAAAAAAATCTTATTCTCAAAAACATTAATAAATAGAACTTGATATAAATTTGGTACGTAAAAAAAACTATGTGACACTCTACAAAAGTTACATTAATCAAGCCCCTCCCGCTGTGGGGGGAGACTTGTATAGGAAAACACATTTAATTCTTATCGTAAGAAAAATACAATGCTCAGAGCTTAGATAGATGGCGTAAAGCAATGCCTAATTGGTCTCCATAAGAGTTATATAAATCCTGCATCTTTGGTTAAAAGATGGCAAACACGAGGGATACATAGCGTGCATTCTCATACATAAACAAACTTTGAAAGTCTTTTGTACAGAAACATGAAGGGCTAAGATATGTGACATCAGTGTTTCCATGTGGCCCTGTTCAAATGTTGCTTAAAGCACGTCCCATGGGGTGATATTTAGACTCGCCTTGATGGCAACTACTTTGCATAAACTGTGCATAAACATTGCATAAACTTATTCAAGGAATTCAAACGCACACATCACTTAATTTGTATAGACTTATATAAACAACACAATAGTATAATTGTTTGAAATATTGTGTAGATATTTCCATTCCAACTCCGATATTTTACTTTCTTCGGAAAATTGGTACAAACAATCGGAGAAATATTTTAAATGTAAAACGAACATGTGGTTTAAGATAAATAACACCAAGATACAGACAGGCATTTGCATACTTGTATTATATTAAATTTCTTGTTTAAAAGCATGCACATACATATTAAAGAACAAATATAGAAAGCGCAGCGAAGAAAACGCATGCACACACACACACACACACACACACACGCACACGCACACGCACACGCACACGCACACACACACACACACACACACACACACACACAAGATGTTCAAAGATCGTATAAGATTACAACGGCTATGTCTGTAAATCATTTAACAGCGTACAGATGAACAGAGACGACAATAAACGTATCACTATTCTGCAGAATAAAAATGTTACAGTGCTTCTTAGTTTTTGACAGGTGCCTTGTTGACAGTTCATCGCATGTCCCGGTGTGTGCTAACTCAACACTGTCAAAAAAAAAAAAACCAAACAAAACTTGGTCTGCAATTCAGTTCCTAGGGGGTCTCTATAAGACTAGAAATAATGCTTCATTTGATTTTTGTATTAAGATATGATGCTTAAACTATGCGAATTCTGTATACAATGCTTCCCCGCCAAAGAAATTCTAACATCGGCCAATATCGCAGCTAATCCGTTATTTCCGGAACTATATCTTTTCAAAATCTTGCGCATTAGATTATTTACAATCACTCATCCTTTATCACAATGCACTAAATTCCGATTTTAAACGGTTAAAAATAATTGAATACCGAATATTAAGAAATATAACGTTCCATAAATGACCATTTTTTACTATATTGGCCGAAGTTAGATTTTTTTGCCAGGAAAGCATTACAGTATGACTACCGTAAGTCATATGTTACAGCTTAAAGAACGGCTTCTTTACCAATATACAGTTATATATGACACAGACTGAAATATAATTTTTGTTTATTTACAGAATATAAGACAGGGTCTGAAATACATACGCGCTCTTGTCTGAATTTACAGTCTTTATGAAACATTATAAAAATTATGTTCTTTATAAAAATAAACGTCACGTCTGACATAAGTATACAACTTCAAATACACGCTCGAATTACACGTTCCTTCTGCTCCTTACAAACACATAATTAAAGGATTATTGAGAAGGCGTACTTTTAGCTGTGCCATCTTACTTTATTCGGAAATAAACTATGTTACATCTTACCTAATCGGATGTTTCAAATTGATTGTTATATTTCAAATAATGTTTTTATCAATTTTAAAAGTGAATATACACATGATAGAGAAATTTAACATAAGCATAACTAAAGCGACTCAATAATATGTGCATCGGACATTTGACATGAAACAAGTTTATATCCTTGGTTGAAATTAAAGTATTAACGATGCATGTTTACGTCTTTGTATACATGTTAATTATAGTTCATGTAGATTATAATTTATATACCAAACAAAAATCTTATGAAATGGAACATTAAAAAAGTTACGAGAGCTTACTTTGCGCTTTTCCTATTGCAATCGTTGTCGTATTCTAGGTTCAATAGTAGGCTGCTGGCCTACAGCAGATCGCTTACGTAAGCCAGTGCATTCACCATCATGGAGGTAGGTCGCCCCGCTTATGTAAAATAAAACAGCTGTAAAATAGTTAATAATGCACATAGTATTTTCTGATTTCTGTTACAAAAAGTAATGAAATTGCGATAAAACGGTTATAATAATTATATGAAACTCGTAAGTTACGGGGGTATAACAGTGGCTTGGGCGAAATCTCTGGATGTTTCTGCAAGGAAGAATCGTCTCGTCCTGTCGACCTTGTTGTATTATGGGTCTATTTATTAACAAGTACATAGAATGTGAACTTGTAATACATAACACAGACACGTGTTTACTGAATCTTCCAAGTATATAAGTGGCGGGAGGATAATGGACATGAGCATTATAGTATAAGATAGTATTAAGATTAAACATATGTATACAATATACAACATTGACCTTGTTTAAAAAAATAAGCACATTTAGTATGTTTCAAATTAATCTGTAAAATACATACATTCAAGTATTTCAAATATAATTAATGGTCTTTTTATGATGACATTGAACTATACATGTATTATTCATATTAACAAGGAAACTTTTTAAAATGTTTTCTAAATGTCACTGATTTACAGTTTCAATTTATTTTAAGTGAACAAACAAGTCAAAATGCCTCTACATAGTCTCTATCTCCTGGAAATTTTTTCCAGGTTAATCAAAACCATTCACAATCACTAGGTCAGGTTGTGAGGTGAAACCGAATGAGCCTTACTGTAGAAATGCGCTTGTTTTGTTTTTAAAACAAATTTAATGTTGTATTATGTGTCTGTTTATTAATAAGGACATAGAACGTGGACTTGTAATATATACCATAGACACGTCACAGACACGTAAGTGCTAGTTCTATCGTTTAATGACCACTGAATATTCCAAGTATATAACTTGTGGGAAGATAATGGACATACGCAATATAGCTTAAGATAGTATTAAAATTAAACATACGTATACAATATACAACAGGCCTCGACAGTTGTTTGTTTTGCAGAAACATCCCTCGATGTAATACCCCCTGTAACTAACTGTTTCATGTATTATAACTATTACTTTAAAATGACCCATGGAGAAACTTTCCAACGGGGTTTAAATTTAATGTTACATCTCCATCACAGGTGTACGGCACGTAATCATGCTAGTTACTAAAACACCTATTCAAGACCCAACTTCAATCCCCATTTTTATGAATTAAATCAGTTAATACATATTAAATACCAATGAAATATAAAAGAGCAATAAAAACACTATATATTATAAGCAAGGCACCAAATAGATAACTTATTGACAACTAATAATTTTAATTGGGTTTTAATAAAAGCATCTAATGTCAAAGTGTCGAGAATGTCCCTAGAAAGAGATCTTGTTGCATGGCTGTTTTAAATAAAAATAAAAGATGCAGAATTCCTAGTTACTGATGTTGAATCAATATTAAAATCTAATATACAAACAAAAAATATATATACAAAATTTCAGAGCCTTTGAAAAAGAAAGAAAAGTTTATTTCTAAAAGAGCGTCTGCACGGACCAACAAAAAAGGTAAATTTTAAATAAGATGTTTTAACATTATTCATTTCAATATGGCATTGTTAAGTTTTGTCTAAGATTCAGTTAAAAAACATTAACTCTTTTTCGAAATCAACATGTCAAAGTCCCCGGATTTTCCGTTGAAAGGTACAACAAAATGGTGCGCATGTACTGATAAAATTACTTTTCATTTCAAATGTTAATTTCTGGCGGTGTATCATTCCTTTATATGTAATATTTTAACAATTAACAGTTAAATAAATGGTAAATTTTACTTACGCACATTCTAGAAAACATAGATTAGGAAACGTTATGCCACCAACGCTGCACACAGGTGCGTAATTTCTGAGGCAAAACATGACGCTTTTACAGTTGGCATTGGTAACTAAATAATAAACAACATGTGATGCATTATGCATATACACATGGACAAATAGATAAAGTCATGTTTTTCCGTATTTGAAAAAAAAACAACAACAACAAAAAACTACACTAAAAAAACCACAAAAAAAACAACAAAACAATAGATAAAGTCATAATTTTCCGTATTAAAAATAAACCCTAAAATAAAAATACAAGGTTCTTCCTCCATAATTGGAATGAATAATACTAACATAAAAATTTCTACTGATATTTTACGGGAAAACGTTAATTAGTAAAGTAATTCAGCCAAATTGTAAGACAACTACCAACGTTGTAAGTATAATTAACGTATTAAAAATGTATGTGTACACATATGCAGCGAGTTAGTTCAAGTTGAATGTTACTATCTATTATACTTCGAAATATCTAGAGAAAGTGCAAACTGGTTCGGTTGCACCCACAATGTTTTAGAAGTGAAACCAAATCATGACAGTGTCCGGTGAACGAGGAAATGATTTTACGGAAAACTTCCGTAGATTACGGAAGCATGAGCAAATGTGCAAAGGTTTGTTACAACCAGTTTGCAATAGACAAGTTTTGCAATCGCAGCAAGTATTACAATAAAATTTTGGAAAACTCGTTTAATTGCAAAACCGGTTGTAACAAAGGTTGGACCAATGGGTATCATATATACGCCTCTAATCAACAAAAGAAAATGCAAAGATTGTTTGCGTGATCTCAGACGTTAAATAGCAAATTACAGGAATAGTCTGTCAAATCATTCACAGTAACATGATCCAAAATAAAGAAAAATCGAGTGCAATCACATATAAATTTTTATTTACTTATAAGCATACAAAAGTGTCACTCAATACAAACCGTTGATTAACAATACAAATGCAGTAAAAGAAAATAATGTAAAGGTAGTAATAGAAGTTATGAAAAATGATAAATAAACTAACCAGTGATCCCAGCAAAACAAATGACTGCAAGACAAACTGCACTAACCATCTTGTATTGGTAGCTTTAACAAAGTTTTCAAAGTTTCTATTGTAATTAAACAGTTTAATATGCTCTTGTCGATCCTGAATTTAGATTATATATATATTGATATCTACATGATCTCAACACGTCAGCACCCGTGTCAAAGTACATTTTCTGTTAAAGCAGCTCAGTAATGAATTGATCAAAAAATGAAAAATCTTAAAAATTGACTTAATAAATATACGAACTGTTTTACTTTTCGTAAATACATCATTATGTTATATACACAATCTTATGAGTATTTGTTGCCATACGTATAATCAGATTACCGATAGTATCTCGGACAAGAGTGCTGTCAAACCGATAATTTATTTACTGAACAAAAGAAATCAACTCAGCTTTTGCGCCTACAATAACGGTCTGAGTCCTAAAATATCCAACAATACTAGATATTTGTATATGAAGTCACAGTGGTAGTATATTCAGAACACTTTATTAATTCGAGTTTACATATAGCAACACAAAACGAATCTATATCAATATCAATATATGTGTAGCGTCGCTTTAAATAAAATTGGCGGTGCTGATACATCCTGGTACCGTTCAGTTGATGACAAGTTTGAGGTTAAAGTTCTTCTAGTCTGCCGGGATTGAACTATAAACGACCAGTGGATTTGTAAATATTTGTGGTACACTAGTGAAACTTCAATAAATAAATAAAAAAAATAAAAATAAAATAAAAACAAAAACGGTTCTCGGTGAAATACTTTGTACTGATGAAATAAAAAACGACCGGTTTTATACAGCGCTTGATGTAATAAATACAAATAATGTGAAAAGTACATAATTAGATATTTAAAAAAGTATTCTATGACAACAGTTTAAAAGAGAATTTACAGCTAAGTCTAATAAGTTTACATAAACAGGAAGATAAAATTATTTTAAAAAGAAGACGAATTACTTTTTTTGCGATTTAATAATTTGATAAAATAATATTTCACTGCAGCCTATTCAATACATAAATATATGCAAGGCTACATGACTTATACAAAATTTTAGGAAATAACAACATAAGCTCAAAGTCCAAGTTGTATATACCGGTATGATATTTCTTCCAGTATCTAACTAAATTGAACAAAAATAACTGAATGTTCATAGGTTTTAAGATGAAAATGATTAAAGCGGGAAAAAGCTTTAAAAAAAAAAAAAAAAATTTTTATTTTTACGCAGCTTTTGATCATGATACTGCATTTATATATCCTGCAGCCTCCCCCCCCCCAACAAAAAAATCTCAGAAAATATAACAAGGAAATTTCATCACAAATGCTAAATATTACATCCCAATCATATATGCTCTTACAAGTACAAATGCGTTGCTTAGCAACAATAATCTAGATCAAAGATTAGCTGTATTTTTGTATTTTCGGATCGCAAGATCAGTAAATACATAGCTAACATCCACGGTCTAACACAAAATTTCCTAACAGACCTAACAACGCAAAGTAGTTCTCACTCAAAACTGCTTAAAAACCAGCAATTTAAAAGACAGAATAATTTTTAATGTAGGCATTTCACGAATTACAGTGCATTGAAAGTTCAGATTAGTCAATAGAAATATGAGGTTACAATCACAAATTTCGCGGATGAATATCATTTTAATCAATGAAAATGCTATTTTTAGCTATGTCGATTACTGAATACTCCAGGGCGTAGTATACAAATAAATCTGACTGCCGAGTAGTGGAATATATACATGTCGGACTGTTTTGGGGAGAAGATTTTTGCCAAATTATTTTTATCAGTGTTAAACAGGTTTATCGTGAACAAAATACCTCGAAATTGATAAGGATTACAAACACAAAATGGAAATTCTCAATTTAGAATTACAATGTATTTGTTTTTATTCAGGCTCATATAACGTACTACTTCACCGTGGTGCAGAGTTATCGCGCTCGTATCGCGCTCGTTTAGGGTGTGAGAGGCCTAAGGTTCAAATCTTAGTCGAGGCAACTTCTTTTTTTTTAAGTGTCTTTTTTAAGGTAGTAGCCACGATATGCAAGGATAAAGTGTGTCATAAAAAATGATTTTTGATGCAACTCTAGTCATGCAAAATTCCATATGTATCAATCTCAAACTGTTATAGAAAAAAATCTTAACGCAGTCGCTGCGTAAGATGAATTATAGTATATAACAAGAAAAGCATTGATGCAAAGCATCAAAGGGCGTCCAAGCAAGAAATGCAGAAAGTGAAGATGAACTAGTAGACATATGATGACAAGATATTCTTATAAACTTTTCAATGGTTAATTGGTTTAATTGAACGGACGAAAGACATTGTTCATTATGAACTTTGATTGGCATGCTAGAGATTAGAATATGTATAGGATAGATCATGAGTACCAGTTGGATGTGAGATTTATCAACGAGCGAAGCGAGTTGATAAATCTCACATACAACTGGTACGAGCGATCTATCTGACTTAGACCACAGGTAGTTTTCTATGTTTAAGGTGAAGATTAAACATGCGTAAACTTTTTTTTTTCTCCGACAATTACATAGGGATATCCAAATATTTCTTATTCAATCTATTTGGCCTTATTGTAGGCAAAACAAATGCACGAGAAAATAGCATATTTCATGTTCTTTCATAAGCTACTGAATACACACTCTTATGAATGATAGATTTCATATTCCATTTTCAATTTCTATCACAAAGAAGAAAATTGGAAAGAATTTAACATTTATAAATGTAATAACCTTACAATTTCGCAAATTGAGAGATTTTGTTGTTATTCCTGTTGATTCCTCATTTAAATGATTTAATGACATATCACAGTACGAGAAGCCGAGAAGCAAGACCGCTAACCGAAAAATACTTTTAGACAGAAATCATTGGCGATGGCTGCTTATCAAGAGTGGGCTTGTTGGAGAAACGGGCAGGTAACTTTTATTAAACGTTTTCCTTAAAAACTCTAAGGTTCAGTATATTTATTGGTTGTCCGGCTGAAGTTGAAAATATCATTCTTGACTTATAGATTCGTTTATTTATTGTATGCATTATATACATCCTGCAATGGCTTTTTTACCTTATTCATAAACTTAAAAAATATTACAAACGTCCCTCTGAAGCCTTAAAGCATAGCATTTCCTTAGCGTTGAAACCGCAGTCCAGTCACCGTTCGAAACGCCCACCAGTGGTATCCCCTCTTCCCAAACCAGTAAATGAATGTACATCTACAGTGTCTGCTATTAAGAGTGCACCGGGCATAATTCAAGATGCGATTATTGAAATCACAGTGCTTGAAAATATTAGCACAAAAGCGGTCGTAAAAATAGATTGATAAACGCATTTTTCTTCATTATTGCTAGTTTTTTTCTTATTTAATTTAACAAAAACAGCAACTATTCTTGTAAAATGATGAAATGTCGAAATTAATTGGCCAAAGGACTATGGCTATCTGTTTGTTTTTTTTCTGTACTATAATATTATACATATAAATTTTCCCCGCATAAAGCGTGCACATAACGGTTTTTTGCTTTCAGTTGAATACAAAGATGATAGTTATATCAAACACTTTACCGTGACGTGTGGGATATATCAAACACTTTTAAACCTCTCTGATTGGCCGAGAGAAAACAACTGTGGTCTAATACTTGTTATTTCTTTATGATCGTGATTATTAATAGCAACGGATATACATAATTACAATCATTTATAATCCATATGTGTAACGCATGATCAACACTTTATTATGTGATCGCTATTAGCGAAGACCCCCTCTTATGGTATCTGTTCACACTTAGTAAAAATATGACACTGGTTATATGACCATGTTGATCATGTTGAGCATAATTGTTTATTATACAATAATTGTCATATCTATTTTAATATAAAAAATACAGATTTTATGAATATTGTTTTCCTCTCTTTTTTCGTGTTTTATGTGCTATTTTAATACTGAGTTTTCACGTTTACTACTCTTTTTTTATTAAAATTGTAAAATAAATTTTAAGAATTTAATTGTCATATTGACCGACGATTATAAGTCAAAACTTAACTGGAAAAAGTCAG